ACTTCTGGTCCAGCAGACACTGGGCGGCTGTCAGTGTAGCGCCGCCTACTGCTGCAGCGTACTCAAATATCCCCTCCACCACTGGACAGTCATAACCTTGAGGGAGAGAACCACATGTAGGAAAGAGATGTCAAACACAATGACCAAAACCTATTATGACTTACCAGAGCCCACATTGTCATTTACAATGACACAAAATTCAAGATGATCAATGGGCAATAATGACAGTACATGTAATTTATTATTACTTCCACAGTTGAGTGTTTCCTTGCACAACACAAATAAAGTATATAAATAATTTGAAGCGTTGAAAACAATCTAGAGGAGACAAATGCACTTTTTTTTTTTAGATTCTGTGAAATGTTTTTGTCTTTGATTGAAACCTACACAGTCTATGATATAAAAATCAGGCAAGCTTATAATTTAAAGAAAACTCAAGGACAATGAATAAAAATAATCAGGAAGTCAGTCATCATCATCTTCTACACCCACTTATCTGTGCAGGGCTGCAGGGGGCTGGAGGATACACCCTGGACAGGTCGCCAGTCCATTGCAGGGCACATATTAACAGACAACCACTCACAGTTGCAGGGAATGTTGGGAGGAAGCCAGAGCACCCAGAGAGAACTCACGCAGACAGGGGGAGAACATGCAAACTCCACACAGAAAGGCCTGGAACGACCAAGGTTTTAACCACAGCGCCACCGTGCCGCCCATATGATAATAAATCAAGCAGGAATTAGGTGGCGGAAGAGAGAAGAATGAGAAATGAGGGAGGTGGATGGACGTGATCGAAGGAAAACAATGGAGTGTGGCTTAAAAAATATAAAACTAAATAAAGAGACGGCAGAGAAAGAGGAATGCCTTAATCAAGGAAAAGGTGGAGCAGTTTGCTTTTGTAACAAGAGGGAAGGATGAGCCAGAGAGGGGTGTGCAGAATACAAAAGGAGGAAGTAACAGTGGGATGAGTCGAGTACATTAAGAACAGCAAAGGCGGATGAGGGTGAATAAAAGTAGGGAGGGAGATGGACAAGCAATGAGTCAGGGATATGAAAACAAGGAGGGTGAACTCGAGGATTAGTCTGAAGTTGTAAACCTCTGAGAAAGATGGACAGCTGAGGTTTTAGTTGAGATGAATGCATTACACTCTCAACCAAAGAGTAAAAGTGATGTTGTTATGCAGATAATAAAGTGCCCCACTTAAAACCAACTACAGATGCATTAAAGTAGATCCAAAACATTGGCAGTGTACTGTGTACTTTAAGAACATAGGCTATTTGAATATTATGTTGTAGTGCCCTCTGCTGCCAACAACCAAGCACTGCATCTAACTTCTCAAGGAGTCTTCCACGCCTTGCTTTACGCTTTAATCCCTCAACTTTCCATATAATGCTGTAAAATCTGTCTATCATGAATAAAAAAGACCAGCACTCACCACTATTTGGAGATAATAAATGTGTGAATTAATGTCACTGTTCTCTTTTAACCTGCATTATGCTGCAGCTCCAATTTCCTAGTATAGAATATAATAGACGCACCCAGGAAGGAAGGTTTTCATTGGACACTCTACTGGATTCTTAGAGTAGCACTGCAGATGGATAGAATTAACAGATTCTATTTAAAAAGTTTTACACATTCATTCTTGGCTTTTCTCACCAAGGCCGTAGTCGACCGACTGGGGGTCGTCGTTGTCGCCATCTTGGCTGATCTTGTGAAGATGCTCCAGGTATGAGTCAGTGTGGAACTTGGCCATTTCCTCGATGGTGGCCAGTTGAGGTTTAATTGTGCTGGAAAGGGATAAAAACGTTAATGGTACATGCTGCTTGCACAATAACTTGTTGTATAAAGCTGATGATACACGGGGCAACTTCTTGAGCAATGTTGCTGGGCAATGTTGTTAGTGGCAAGTCCGACTATGTTTTGAACAGATAGCTGCGGGGGGGGGAGCGGATTACGGCAGTGATCTTTACTCATTACCATTTACGGCAACGTTGCCCAGCGCGATTGCTCTAAAAGTTGCTCTGTGTATTATAAGCTTAAGCAGTGGCAGAGCAACCCATGCTGCTGTAAAATACTGTAAGAGAATAAAACCACAGTAACCCGCACACCACTACAGATGATTCAAACAGAGTCGCTTTCAGATCAGAAATGACTAAGTGTACAGCCTAAAGTTGCAGAAAATATTGGCACCACACATTCCAACCACACAAAAATTGCTGTGCAAATATAAAACAAATCACCAAAAAATACTGCATTGATTTACTGGGAGTGGAAATTGAGAGGATTGGGAAAACACCATCACAAGCTGTGAGCTTAGCACTGATTTGCCAATGTGCAAAGAAAAACTTGTATGCAACAATTTAATAAAATTAAATTTAAAAAATGCTTCTTACTGTATTGGAGGTGAGAAGCAAATCAATCAATTTTAAAAATGTAATCTGAGTGGAATTTAAAAACATGCAAAGCAGGAAAGTATACAATACAAACACCCAGACAGTACAATCTGTACAGCATGACTATTACACACTACACATAAAAACAAATACTGTGCAATATGCAGAGCACTAGGTTTCCAGAGAATATACACTATCTGAGTACGGGATTCATACATATACAAACATATGGAACAAGTTTGATAATTGGTGTATAAAACCAATTTCACGCCAAAATAATCTTCAACTGCATATCATATCATATTGCACAAGTGTACCATAGTACACACAGTGAGATGCAGATATTTGTTGTATAAATACATTCTGTATGTAAGGGAGGGGTGTTAGGTCGTTGTATGTTTGGGATGTAGCTGAGACAGTGTGAGCTTCAATCCTAAAAGACTGAGGTTGTCTTAGTGAGCAAGACTGGGGATCAATAAGAGTTTCCTGAAAACTACTACCAGCACCTAAAACTTTCTTGGATTGAATCAATAACACTGAGACTAAAAAAGAAGAAGCACTCTAAATAACTAAAGGTGATTGAAAGTAATTTTGAAATGTTTTGTTTTGAAATAGTAGGAATTTAAGTGTAACAGTCCAGGTAGCAGTCTGCTTCTGTACAGTATGTGAAGCAATTTCTCTCTGAGTTTAAAAGAAAAAAAATAATTAAATCACCATGTTGTCTCTGTTTATGTTGTAAAACTGACGCCAGCTGTTTATCACCACTCACCTCATGTTTTGAAGGAGTCCATAGGCTTCTATCAGGGAGTGGACCATACTTGCCTGGAAATGAACACCGTAGAAATCACGAAATAAAAACACGGACTCGACATTGATAACAACAAAGCAGAGGTCGCGAGAAAAGGCCTGGTAACTTTACGTAAATGTGTTGAACAAAAAAAAACATCTCCATTCAATCCAACTCACCCGGTTTGGCACTTTGGATAAACTGTCGCAAGTCTCGATGTACTCCGGGCTGTACACGTACGCGACTCTCCGTTTACTGCAGCTGTCATCGTCGCTGTCTCCCCTGCAACTCATTTACGATGGATAAAACGTAAATAATTAGACGGAGAATGGAGCTAAAACAAATTCACAGTGAAGGGATGCGATCGGCGTCTTGTTCTCCAGGCTGGTGTCACACCGTCAACACTCCCCCCCGGTAACGTCGGTTCACTGCCGGTGTTCACCGTTCAGTTAGAGGGAAGACGACGACGGTAAGATGTAAATTAAATATACATAATGTCGAGTGATTTTATCTCCTTTAAAACAAGAACATTTCGGCGTTTTATTTAGCTAGCGGGTGATACGGAGAGCTGCTTCATAACGGTCACAAACCTCCACCAACGTTTCGCTGGCGGACGTTTTTTAAAGTAGAACGGGCGCGCGGAGCGGGAAGCATTCTGGGATTTCTTGTAGTCTTTTTCGCCTTCCTCTAAAGTAGTTTTCAAAAGTTTGAGCCAACGTTTTAGATGAATTAAGACAGGACTTCCCAAACAGATACATTTCTAGTCAACATATTTTGGTTGGCAATAATGTTTGTAGGTGGATTAAACTGAATATCACCATATTTACTTTTACCCCATTGCCATAAAATTGCCCCAAAACAAAATGCATTTCGGCAAAACAAAAACTCATAATGAAATTACAGCTCTTAAAGAAGAAAATGTTTGGCTTGGAGCCATTTAAGCATTTGTCTGTGTGTGTGTGTGTGTGTGTGTGTGTGTGTGTGTGTGTGTGTGTGTGTGTGTGTGTGTGTGTGCAGGTCACGGGGGGGGGGGGGGGCTGCTTTTCACTGGAGTGAGCCCCAAACAGCTGACAAAATGCTATTTCATTTATGGGTGACCAAATTTAATGCTCAACCGTGACAGCGGATAATGCACTAAAATAAAACTGGGGTGGGTTCAGTGTTGTTGTGTGGGTGTTTACGGGGTTTTGCCTCAGTTTGCTTCCTGGTTGAATTTCACAGCATCTGCCACAGAAGCTGTTCAAGTATTTCTACAAAGAAGTTTTATGTACTTTTTCTGTTAACTGTTAACAATGTGGGCTACATGGTAGGTTTATTACGTTTATACAACTAGTAAACGCTGCCATGGCTCTACCATTTAAGTGCAAACCACTCCACACAGTGGGGTACACTGCTGTAAATTTTTTTACAACAAAGAAAAGCCATTCCGGTTAAAACTTTCAAATTAAAATACGTATTAACGGTTAATACCACGTACAGTGAATACAGTGAAAGTATAGTAAATGATATAGTGCATATTTATCAACTGTTGTCATTCTTCTAAAGTATTATTCTAAATGTTTACAGTCCTGTAACACATTTGTATTCCATGTTTCTGATTTCAGAACTCAAAATGACAAAATTTTTTAGGAGACTGCATGTTTAAAAAATCACACAATGTGTAACTTAAAATTACAAATTTAAACTGCACTTTAGGCCTCCATAATCCCAGACAAATAAAAACAAAGAGTACAACAGTGTAGAACTCGGTCTGTTCGGACACGCTTTTACTTTGAAGGCAACATCTCCCCACTTCCGGTATCGTTCCTCACGGCAGCTTCAGGTTACAGTCGCTCGCTCTTCTTGAGCTGTGTTTAAGACAGCCAGGCAGCTGCTTTTCTGGTCGCCTTGAACGCTGTCCTCCTTTTCGGCTTTTTGTACTTTTTGTACTAGAAGCGCCGAAGAAATGACTTTCCTGTCGATGATTTAGCGAGTTTGTGTCCTTAAAAGTGCTTGAAGTCACCTGAGCTGAGCCGCTGACTTGCCACCATGAGAAGCAGGAGCAACTCGGGCGTTAAACTTGACAACTATGCCCGGATGGTGCACCAAACTATCCTGAGGCACCAAGTAAGTGTGTTAAATTGTGTTTGTCACGCCTAAGTAGTAAACGGTTAAATAAATTAAACAGTTGCAGCTTCACACCTGCAGGCAGGTCATTGTCAGCGTGTCCATACTTCACCTGCTGCATGTTTGTTTTCATGCAAGTATTTTATATTGCGCAAGGCAGTGTGTGTGTGTGTGTCTCCATTGAATGTAGCTTGCAGACTTCTGACAACCCTTATGAACTTACATCATATGGGCAAACGTATACTGACACCTGATTATTATTACACTGCTATGTGATTGTTGGACATCAATCTACAGCTATAACAGCCTTCACTCTTCTGGGAAGTCTCACCACAACAAGAGCATCAGTGAGGTCCAACACTGATGCTGGGTGATAAGGCCTGGCTCACAGTCCATCCCACAGGTGTTGGACTGGGTAGAGGAGCTCCAAACTAGGAAAAACTAACTTTCTTTATGGAGCTGGCTTTGTCATGTGGAAACAAGAAAGGCACAAACAAACTTGGAAGTGCACAAAGTTGGAAGTACACCGTTGTCCAAAATATAACTGGATACTGTTAGCATTAACATTTCCCTTCATCTGAACTAAGGGGCCTAAACCATGACAAACTCCCACAGACAGTCCAACTAAAATACAAATACTTAATACCATAATGCCCTCTTTAGCCCGTAAAACTGACAGGACATTAACTAAATGCCTTATCACACAAATCACAATTCTTTTCCTTGATTTATTGATCAGTTATTTGGTCCATAAAATGTCAGAAAATTGTGAAATATGTCGATCAGTGTTTCCCAAAGCCCAAGATGACGTTGTCAAATGTCTTGTTTTGTCCACAACCCAAAGAGATCCACTTTACTGTCATAGAGGACTAAAGAAACCAGAAAATATTCACATTTAAGAAGCTGGAATCAGAGAATTTCTCTAAAAAAATGACTCAAACCAATTAATCGTTGACAACTTATCGATGATTCGATTAATCGTTGCAGCGCTACATGCCTACACTTAATCTAAACACAACTCTAGTCTTGACCTTAAAATCAAGTCTAAACCCTCAGATAACCCACTGAGGAAGTGAGGACTGGGCAAAAGGACAAGAAGACTCACACCTCACATATCTTCTGTTTTCCTCTGCTCATTGCTCCCTCAAAACACCAAAGGATAGGATTTGGATGAATCTTTCCACCGCACGTTGCAAAAACTGAAGACACAAACCCGATGAATTAGTTAGATGCCTGTGGTAAGAAAGAACTTAGAACAGAAATCAAACCCTTTTGCGTCTTTTATTGGTTCTTTTGGGGGATTTTTAATTGTTGTAGAGCTGATGAAGACACGAAGGAGGAGAAGGAGAGGACACAAACACACTGGTCCAGAGGTCTGGGATCTCACCTCTGAGTTATCCGGCCTCTACATTTTGTAGTGGGCAGAACTCGTGTGAAGTCACCTTTGAATCTCTCCCAAATGGCCACCAGCCAGCCTGCAGTTGTATACAGCTCACTGCTCAGATGGATCACTGCACTAATGGCTGTGACAGCGAGAGCAGAGGCTTGCTGCAGCTGCAAGCACAGAGTCGAGGATAATGCAGTTGAAGAATGATAAATGTATTGACAGTAAATCTGTTCTTGGTGGTTTTGGCACGTGGGGGGTTGATACGCGTCTTATCCGGGCATCTGCGTTGTGTAGCCCTTCAAGAGTCTATTTCCTTAGAAAAGTAACCCAACACATGCTACTCTAGCAGAGACAGCAGAGACGAACCGAAAAACGGCGTAATGATTAGTGAAGTGTCCGTCCCAAATGAGTGGGCTCTATGAGCTGCCCCATCCAAGTGAATGATGGAGACCCAATTTCACCCTGGCGGAAAGCATGACATGAGCAAATTACACTTAAACTAATTACTCATACTAATTTAAATATACAGTATGTTTCTGTATAGAGTTTTTAAATTATTTATTAACCATTGTTTCTGTTACAAACAACTAAGATAGTTATTCTTGACATATCACACTTGTTAACCATCAATATGATAATATTTTAATGCTTTGCAGATGAAGAATCTTAGCTATTTATTTTGTGCAATTATAACCCAAAGAGCCGTCTCTCTAAGTTCCTGCTCCCTTCTAAGAGCCATAATTCCCATCACCAGAGCCGATATTTTATGAGCTACCAGCAGATAAAAACGTATCGGTGTTTATAACAGCCGATAAATGACAATTAAAAAAGAAACGGAGAGACGATCAAGACGACAATCATGTTATGAGTGATGTCGCTGAATAATTTGTCCACCAGCACTCTGCAACTCCCCTGTTGGCAACACACAGGTTTTTTATATACAGTCTATGGTTTAATGCCACAAAACTACAGCGATCAGCAGTGCTATTTATAACAATATAGTAAGGTGCATTTTTAAACTGCATTATGTATGTTATCTTGGTGAGGTCTCATAACTACATTATCTTTATTTAGTTGTATGTTTCTGAAAAAAGAAAAAAAAGCATATCAGACGAGATCAGAATATCAGATTATAAAAATATAAAGATCAGAATCTGTCTTTTAAATCCCAGACGTCGACTTTCTCGCTGGTGTTTTTGTGTTACTTACCCAGAGGAGACATTTCTCTTTGTTAGTGATGAAACCTAACTTGATGTTGAAAGAGCTGGCTGTCATAATGTCTCAGTGAGCTGTAGTAAAACTAAAATTTATAATTAAAACATAAATGATTAGTTAGTGGCTCACTAAGCCCAACAGCAGTTGCAGCGAGGAAGAGGCTGTATTTAAATGTTATGCAAAGATAACATTGTTTTCCAGTTCCTCAGCTAAGTGCATGGTTTCAACTTGCACATTGCCTCATCTGCAGAGGTATTTTGCTGTTATCAAGGGTTGTTCAGACAAGTAACAACATCCTCTTCACAACAGGAAGCAATGGGGTTTTTGGGAAATGCAGTTTAGTGATATGTTGCACTTTTTAACGCCCTGTTCCTTTCTACCAGCTCATGTGAAAGGGCAGAGTTGGTCTAAACTTAAAGCTAATCATTTTCATTTTTAGCAATTTTTACAGGAAAAGAATCAATTATCTTTAGTTTTGAAAGGAGCAGACGGCTCTGAATAGATTACTTTTAAGTATGCTATGTCCCCACTCAACCAAAAGTTGTGTTTTTTGCTACAAGAAGACAAAGTTTATCATAGTTTGTAGTAAGTGAAGTTGTGTGGGCAGATTAGGATTCATGTAAGAAGTCAAATGATTAGTCGATGTGCAGAAATTCAGTCAGCAACAATTTTCACTGTTTTGAAGAAAATTTTATTGACATAGCAGAATCACAAATTTGCCACTTTCGCTATGTGTCTGACAGGATCCAGTAACGGGTCTTCTGCCAGGCAGCACGGATCAGCAGCACTCCTGGGTCAGAGACAACGTCTACAGCGTCCTGTCTGTGTGGGCCCTCAGTCTGGCCTACAGGAAGAACGCTGACAGGGATGAAGACAAGGCCAAGGCCTACGAGCTGGAGCAGGTGCACGTGTGTCTGAGTTTGGGTTATGAAAGGAACATCGTGGGATTAAGGCTGAGAGTGTGTTTTTACCCCCTTCAGTGTGCAGCTCCTCCCTCTCTGCTGATGAAGGGCACCGTTTGGGGCTCACGTTTCTCTGCCTGGACACGAGGAGCCATGTGTTGAAGATGTTGACATTTAACCATCCCCGTCTCTCTCTCTCTCTCTCTCTCTCTCTGTCCTCAGAGTGTGGTGAAGTTAATGAGAGGGATCCTCCAGTGCATAATGAGGCAGGTATGTTGTGTCAAAGTATTTTTGTGACCTCCCACAGACTTACACCCTATCTTTTTTTGCTGTACCCATGTCTGAGAGGCTAAAACTTTAAGAAGAAGGTTTTAGGCCTGTGCAGAACTGTATTAGAAAGTGCTCCAGATAAATATCTTTAAGTGTCTTACCTTTTCTTAAAACTGCATTACTCCAGACACGCTCTGAAATCTACAGCATAACTATGTACGTTTCTATATCTTCGATTAATGACAGAGACGTTTTAAAGAGGAGACAGGCCAATCAAATCCTCAGTACAACTCTATGGGGAAAGCCCGTAACGGCCAAGATGGCTGCTATCCCGCTCCTCCCACTAGAAAACCAGTCGTTTGCTTTTTTAAAGCCAAAGTGCCAAAACATATTTCAGCCAATCGTGTGGTTCCGCTGACGTAAGGGTCTGTTTTACTTTGACTGCACATGCGTGGTAGTAGTGACGCATGCGTAGTAGAAGTGTAACCGGTCAGAAAAAAACGCTTTGTAAACCTTATTTTGGGGCAAAGTCTTTAAAACTTTTTTGACGATTTTTATTAGATTTTACTGCTGATTCTATTCATGTAGTTTTTATGTCCCGGTGACCCGTAAAAGTGCAGTTCTGGCTCTCCCCATTCATTCAGATAAGAGCCTGGTCTTGTTAGTCCTAAATAGCTGGCTCGAGGTGTTTCCAAGATGGCAGCCAAGTGGCATGACTTGCCTATAAGGACTTTGTTAATAAATATTCCATCTAAAACAACACTTTACTGGCTAAGATTACATGTATATTAGATTATACTCCACATACATTATACATGACTTTTCTGTGTTTTGACATCAGCATTATATATCGGCTCCTAAATACTAAATACCCATATCAGCCGACCACTACTTCATCACATTACATGATGCAATTAAAATCAGTATTGCCATAATGTAGTCCTGGTCATTGATGTGCAACTTTGCCTTCAGGGCTTAACACAGTCTGAGATATTTACAGGATGTATGACAAATGTCTTTCATCTCACGGTTGCTATATTTGCCTACTTGTGATTTATTTTGTTGGATACTTTATTATTTTGTGTCGTTTTGTGATTGATTGATTAGATCATATGCATATTTTGACAAGTCTGTCCTTCTTGACACCCTCCCTCCCCACTTCACAGCTGGATAAGGTGGAGAAGTTTAAATACAGCAGAAGTACCTCAGACTCGCTCCATGCCAAGTACAACACCAGGACCTGTGCTCCTGTTGTTGGAGACGACCAGTGGGGTCACCTGCAGGTCGACGCCACCTCACTCTTCCTGTTCTTCCTTGCTCAGATGACTGCATCTGGTAAATACAAAATCACCACCAAACTTAAGCAAACTACTTAAAGGTCAGAATCCACTTCAATCCAGTCTACTGAAAACATACCACAACTTTAGGTTGTATGATCAAGAATGCTTCATAACTCAAGAAGAAACATGTTCTCTTTATTTGTAAACAAATAAACCAACAAATACTAACAGGTAAATTCAAAAAGTGTTATTTAACAGGAAATCAGTCAACAAGAAAAATGGAATAATATATAATTAATTTAAAACGGTAGTTTGAGACACTGTTTTTTTTTTTTTAGACATTTTACCGACCTGTTTGGAGGAAAAACATGAAACTTTTTTTTACGATAGGAAGCAGAGAACAAGAAGTGTACTAGTGTGTTATCGCAATCTTGTATGCCTGCATTCACTATTTCTGTCTATGTTAAATACCTTAATAAATTGTCTGTTCGTGCGTGCGTGCGTGTGTGTGCGCACCAGGTCTCCATATCGTCTACACCCAAGATGAAGTGGACGTCGTTCAGAATCTCATGTTCTACATTGAGGCGGCTTACAAAGTGGCTGTAAGTGTTCATTTGTCATTGTTAATTCCTGGAGCCTTTTTTTTCATTTTCTGGAGCCATTAATCTCACTTCTTCCTTTCTGGTTCCTCACAGGATTATGGGATGTGGGAAAGAGGAGACAAAACCAACCAGGGCATCACTGAGATCAACGCCAGCTCTATAGGCATGGCCAAGGTGAATACGCACACACAGAGAAACACAGATGCAAATATAAGGTATTAACAGCCTCGCTTGTGTTTTCTTTTTCCTGAGTGTGATATAGGAAGCAGGTAGACGGAGGGGAAATCAGCCCGTGTGCTGAGTGAGAGCTTCCCACCACAGGGGCAGAACAGGTGCTCCAGTAAAAGTCTCTGGCTCAGTGGAAGGTGTCTAGTCACTGCAATGGCCTTTACACTGACCTTTAGACAACCCAGACTCTCCAAACTAGCTCGGGATCAGATAGACAGACTTTGTTTCGGTGCTGAAAGGGTACCCAGCAGCACCGGTACTTCCTGATGACAGTATAGATACATACAGTGCTGCTTCCAGATGAAATCTCTTTCAAAGAACTAAGGTTGACGGCATCAAATCGGAGCAAGTTTGTCATGCCGGTGAACATTTAAAAGAGTTTTATTACACAAAAAGTTCTCATCTGAATCTATATAATGCTACAATTGAAGGAAAACATCAAACGTTGTTGTTATGAAGTTTTCACATACCGGCCTGACCCAGGGCTGTCCTTGGCCGGCGGGGTTCAGGAGGTATCAGGTTCTCTGTGGTTTCCGGGAATGGCTTCTCACTCAGAAATAACACAGTACTCGCAGTACCCACTGCACACACGCGCGCGCGCACACACACACACACGCACGCATGCACATTTTAATGTAACACTTTGGAAATGGACACCACTGCAGGACGTTCCCTCCTCCATTAATTACATGTTTTTATCAGTCAGTATTTATAAAAAGCAAAATAGTATGAAATGATTGTAATATGTACCATGTGTACTATGATGTACTACTACTGTTTAAATACATAATACTGCTATAGATATATAAATATACAATGCACATAATACTGTGTATATACGCACTGCAGATAATATTGTGTATTATATGCATGGTACTATCATAACACACTTTTGTTTTTTTTTTAAATACCTTAATGTACAATATTAGATCAGACTTTTTACTATTTTTATATTTACAAAAAGGGACAAGTACACAAACACTATATTGTAAGTTTTTTTTACACTTGACACTAGAGCCAGACAAGTATATAAGCACATCTTTTTAATATTATTGTACAGTATTGGTGTATCACATATATCTTCATGATGGCATATATGCTGGCAGATAGCATGCATATAAACTGCAGTAAATAGGTGTTTTACAGGGTCAAGTATTATGGATATTTGACAGTTTGATATATTTTTATTGGATTTTTGTATTTACTTACTGTTGTTATTTTGTATTGCTGTTATCTTTTACTGTTACTGTCATCTGAGGTAGTGAAATAATATTAGGTATTGCTTATGCCGCGTTCGAGACCAGTCGGAACTGGGATTTTTCCCAGTTGAAACTTCTGACTTCCGACCTGGTGCATGGTGGTGCATGACGCCGAAAGTGAACGAAAACCATGGCTGACCGTGACAAAGTGTACACACAGTTGCACCCTCAGCAGTGTTTTAAGTGTTACTTCAAAGGATGGCAGTTTAACTGCAACAACTGACATCAATACGTTACTAGTTAACTGTGTACCCGTCTAGCTACGTCAGTTGGTAACCCTCAAGTCAGTCAATGTTGTAGATTACACTTCCTAATTTTTTGGCATTTTTAACAATAATTTAAGCAGAGAAGATGACTTTATGAGAGTCTTTACTGTAGCCAGCTACCTAATAGGCCTAACATATTTCTACATCAATGTACATGCAGAACAGCTTTTACTGTATGATCGTATATGTATTATTTTAATTTAAATATTAAGTATCTTTTACTACTGATTCCCGCCTAAGCTGATTCCAACTTAAGGGGTGTTCCCTTTGAAATTTTGACCTTTGAACTTGGAAATTACAACTTCCCATGTCAACTGGAACGCACCATGAGGTCCAACACTTTCATGGATGTGCTCCATTGACTCTAATGTAAAAAGAGTCCTTTTTTTTGGCAGTATTTTTTTATTAAAGATATAGTCAAACACTGCTGTTCCTGGGGCACTTAATAGTTACAGTCGTTACCCAGAGACGCAAGTACAATGTATTCTCTTTCCAAAACCTAAAATAAATCCATAAAAATGTTGGCTGTTCCTAATGTAATGTTAGTTAGCTAACGCTAGCTAACTTCCTACTCAATGTAACGTTATAAAGCTTCTATCTTTCATTATTTTCACGTCCGTTTGGATCAGTCTAACAGCCTGAACACAACCTTCAAATGTATCATGCAACTGCAAAACTGTCTGCTTCTTTCTGAGATCGCTTTTTCCAACAAATGTGCAAATATTTCTCCAGGGAGTAACAGACAGTGGCAACGCCAACAGTTTGTCGGACTTAGCAACAGTAACTAAGGGGGGCGGGGCTTAACAAAGGGTCAATTGCAGATTGATGGACGCACAAGTATAATTCCTGGCTACGGCGTAGCTACGCACGTAGACCCTACGCAGGAGTATAGGAATCATCTTCTATGTACTACAGTACTCGCCAATATGCTACACTGTGTTGTAATGCATGTGTACTGTATGTAAAGTACTGTATACTACACCATACTATACTGTTGTTGTGTTCGTAACGAGGGTCACATGATTACTGTGTCCTCCAGGCAGCTCTGGAGGCTTTGGATGACCTCAACCTGTTTGGGGCAAAAGGAGGACCTGGATCTGTGGTCCACGCCTTGGCCGATGACATACAGCACTGCCAGGTACACACACAAATACACTTTTTGAGATCATTTTATATAATATTAACTTTGATTTTAATGTTGAACAGCAGTGTCAGCATCCCGTTCTAATCCATCCTCCACTTTCTCGCTTTTCGTCTCTCTCCCTCATCAGTCCATCCTGACGTCGATGTTACCCAGTGCGTCCGTCTCTAAAGAGGTGGATGCCGGAGTCCTGGCTATCATCTCGTACCCTGCCTTCGCTGTGGAGGACATGAGCATAGTCAACATGACCAAGGAGGAGATCATCTCCAAACTGCAGGTGCTGAGAAGTCCGGTGAAAACACTAAAACTATGTACTTTACTTTAAAGAGATCAGCCTTACATATGAAAAAAAGGTACCAGTGACCAAAGATGGGCGTGTAGGGCTGCTAATTAATGACTAATCTCTTGATAGATTTTTCTAAGTAGTTATTTATCGGTTAGTCTATAAATTATCAGAAAATGTTACATTCTTGAAAATGTCACATATATATGGCTTAATACTGTCTTTAAAACAGCTAGAGAGAGGGGGTTAATATGAAGGAGGTGATGTCTAATTACAGGCTAGATGAGCAAAATGTCACTTGTCCTACAGAATAAAGTACATTTTGACTGCCGTACTTCACACTACATACATTATTATTATTTATTACTTATTTAAGCAGCCGCGCTGTTGAATGATTAAGACGAATTTGTCGCTGCTGACTTCCTCTCTGTGTCCGCTCAGGGTCGATACGGCTGCTGCAGGTTTCTCAGAGATGGACACAAAACGCCCAAAGAGGTAAATGTGAGGGAAATTTCTTTAGTGGCCTTAAGTAAGGCGGGTCACCCTCTGGGTCATTAGCAGACCCTTCAAAGTGTATGTTCACTGACCTCCCAGCTCCAGTTCTTTGCCTCTGTCTCTCTGCTTGTCAGGGTGACGACAGCTGGACTGAAAATGGACAGACGGTAGTTCAGGCCTCAGGCTACCAGCTGTCGGTGATCTCTGGGAATCCTATATGTTGAGTGCAAAGCAGTGATACCATTAGATTTCAACGTGATGTAGGTAATGAATTAGAGCATCAGGCAGATCGACTGCTCTGGTAGGAAACACCTAAAGACACAAGGGGGACCAAAGTTGACTTTAAAAGTCGGCACGTCGCTCTGCCTTGTTTTTGTCATCAAAAGCAGAGGATGCTGAGGAGACTGTAAGCTGAGGAGATGCATAGTGTTTAGGTGTAAAGCCACAGTGTTACGTCTTTACCATGTGGTGTGTGTCTGTGTGTGTGTGTGTATGTATATATATATATATATATATATATATATATATATATATATATATATATATATATATATATATATATATATATATATATATATATATATAGAATTTTCTACCTCAGATTTGTGAAGTGATACACCATAAAGAAAAGTTTAAAACCACAATTAACCACATTGTCTTGAAACTTGAAAGAAATGATGATTTGACAGTTATTGTGCTAATTATCGATATCGAATGGTATGAAATGTTTTTATCGTAATATAAAGTATTATAAGAAAATAGAACACATGTATTAACTCCGGCCAAAAGAAATCATACAAGATGCAAAAACTGATTTTGAAAGGTTGTTGTTGTTATTGTAGAAGTATTGTGTCACGGGGATATACTGGGAAGCTTCCAGTTATCGGTGTGTGAAGTTTTGAGGGTTACAGAAATGCAGAACATGGATTTCTGGCACAACCTCGCTGTGGCATGACGAAGGCAAATAGTGTTAAAGGATCAAAACTCCAGCAACACTTGTAGTAGAGCCCAAGGATAAAATCAGCATGCTGATATTATTGGCCCATATGAGCTCATTGCAGATATATCGGTATTTATCGGTATATATCGGCGTTTAAAACAGTCGATAAATGACAATTACAAAAGAAACGGAGCAATGTGTTGAGTGTTGTCGTTGCATAGTTTGTCTGACAGAGGGCAGTCTGCAACGCCACAATTAGCAACCCACTGTTTGGAAAGCCACAAATCAAAACAGCAATAAGAGCTTTTGTTCAGAGTGCTATTTATAACAAACAAAGAAATGTTTTAACTGCATTTTGTTATCTTGGTGATGTCTCATAACTATACGTAACAAATGTCAGGGTTAATCTTTGTTTATGTTATGTGTTTCTGAAAAGATGGGGGGCCGAAATATCAAATTTTAAAATCGGTATCAAAATCGGTATTGGTCTTAAAAATCCTGTATCGACCGGGCTCTAACTTGTAGTATAAAGAAAACTTCAAATGAAGGATACGCCTACGAACCCCTGTGTCAGCAAGAATCTAAACCCATGGCAATGAATCCCTATCCGTTTTCAGATATGTAGACGTGTAGCTACAGTAACATCTGACCTTCTCGTTGAGAGGACAAGAAGAACTGCAGGGATCAGTAGATTCATATAAATATATTCTGCCCTCACATGTTTATGTAATTTGAGAAAAGTGATCACTCAGCTGCAAAGAGTTCTTCTTCTCTCATAATTCTGCCTCTGTCTCCTGTTCTTCGTTATTCCAGGATCCAAACCGTCTCTATTATGAGTCTGCAGAACTGAAACTCTTTGAAAACATAGAGTGTGAGTGGCCGCTGTTCTGGACCTACCTCATACTGGATGGCATTTTTATCAACAGCCCCGAACAGGTAATTTACCTCCGAATGTGTGTGTGCGTTTCTGAGCCTTATTCTTTGACAGTATGTATACACGCCTCGTGTCCCTTGTGAATATTAACGAGGCAAATGTTGGATACAATCTCTGTAAATTCATGCAGGTGCAAGAATACCAGGAGGCTCTGGAGGGGATCCTGATCAAACAGAAAGACGGGATACGGCTGGTGCCAGAGCTCTACAGTGTCCCCCCAGATAAGGTAATGCCATAGAGGCAAGGTGTGGGAATTCTTTATAACACTTAGGGCTGCAGCTAACGATGATTTTAGTACTCGAAGCATCTACAGATTATTTCATCGATGCATCGTTTAAGAAGTTCTTTTGCTTGGTGGTGCGCCCCCCAGGGACCTGTCTCTGCATTAGGCGACATAAGTTTTGTTTTGTGGTGGACGGACGGTAACATTACAGAGTTGTTGTTTCCTTTAGCTTAAAATAATCCCATGCTTTGGACACTTTCTTCTTCGTCCCTCCCTTTTTTCTCTCTCTTCCTCCTCTTTGCAAACAGCGGCATCATAATCACATCGTGTTCACAGCGTAAGCGCGACGTGCGACTGTAATAAATGTCTGTGTGAAACAGTATGCTATATAGTTATATGGATTAAACGAAGCATCGATGCAAGGAATTTGTGTCGATCCTTTTTAGTAATCGATTTAATCGATGAATCATTTCAGCACTAATAACACTGTGATTCTTTAATAAGGTGTAGAGTTTTTTATTGTCAATAAAAAGGCAGCAACCCTCACTGAGATCCTCATCTTTTAAATGTGTTATTGTTCCTATCTGGTGTATTTGAAGGAAAGGTATCAGTTCTGTTTGGATGTGTTTCAAAGGGTTTTTATTGTATCTGATTTATGAAACTTTTTTCCACTTTAACATTGTTTAAAACTGTTTTTTAAACTATTTTTATGTAAAACAACACACAGGTGGAGGAGGAGTACATGAACCCTCACTCTGTGGAGAGGATCCCTATGGGTAAATTACCTCTGACATGGGGACAGTCTCTGTACATCCTGGGAAACCTTTTGAATGAGGTGAGCTGTCATTTCATTTGCTAACACAACAACATGTAAGATTATAATCCAATTTGTGAGCACTGTAACCAGAAATTTCATTTTGGGGAAAACACTTACCAGCTTTCTGGCAGAGTTAGATGAGAATAATGACGCTTATAGATTTTTGTATGTAGCTAAAGCCATCAGTCAGTTAGCTTAGCTTAGCATAAAAAAACTAAATCTGCCTACTAGCACCTCTAAAACCCACTAATTAACAGGTTAAATCTCATTTGTTTAATCTGTCCAAGCAGAGGCTCCAGGATGTTGGTGGTCCTGGTTAATCTGTCGGATCAGTCGAGATGGCAGATTTCACTTTTCACATCCAGCAAACAGATTTTGTGGCTCTGACTTTTTAAGCTTTGTCTCATTTTTAAGGGATTCCTCGCTCCCGGAGAGATCGACCCTCTTAACCGACGATTCGCCACCATCCCCAAGCCCGATGTGGTCGTACAAGGTGAGTTCACAGCACACTGGATGAGGCATCAGCCTGTAGTTTCAGTCACAGATCAGTGTTGGAAGATCCGGATAAACTCCTTACATTTACATTTATTCCTTGTGAAATGTGTGTTTTGGCCAGTGTACACAGCGGCAGTAGTACATGTTTATTAAGCGTGTTCTCTTTCCTGTTGTAGTGTCAATTCTGGCAGAGACTAAGGAGATTAAAGAGTTGCTGTGCAAGAACGGTATAGATGTGGAGACCATTGCTGACATCCATCCCATCCACGTGCAGCCGTCCAGTGTCCTCAGTCACATCTACGCCAGACTTGGTACAACCCCAGAGGACATTTTCTTGACACGTTTGAAATGTGCTGTTTTTTTAAAAATGAAAAAATGTCGTCGGTAATCCAGAGAAGGGCGTGACATGTATTTAGTAGATTTAACAGCTTCGTGCAGTTCATAACTAGATAATCATTTGAATCATCAGTGTGGGAGCAGGGAGAGATCTAAAACATGCAGGACTAGTCTGCCTCTAGGAGAGGGTTGGGAAACACTGTATTAGATCATGGGATGACAGTTATTGATCATGGACATTATACACTTTTTAAACATTGATCTATCTGTTAAAGAAATGGTGTATTATAATTCAGACGTAGATATTTATCAAAGCTTTATTCAGACATAGATATGACCGTTACGGAAAACAGCCACAATGCTTTGTGTGCCAATAAGCGTTCAGTCAGTGGCAGTTCAGTCTCAAAGAAAGCAAATGATATTAATGGATTTAAAAACAGATTTTGATGCTGAAGCCCAGTTTATGACTATCACAAGCTCGCTTCATCAGTTTCATCTGACTTCTTTATTAAGTCCAACATTAACATTTAATTCCTCTTTGCTCACATGATTTATGTAGGTTTTTGCTGGGTATTCATAATGTCACCCATGCAGTAAGTTGTAATAAAGTGGTGGTCTCATTATAAATGTGATTGTAGAAGGGTTTTCACACTTTGTGCGTACGAGATGATAATTAAGTGATACATCTCTTATAGTGAGATAGAGGAGAAGGCAAAACAACACACAAATTTAATCTCTGTCTGTTTCATTGGTGCTGCAGCCTTTATGCGAACCTGATGGCATTAAATTCAGACTTTGGCTGTGTTGGGAGTGTTATTAGGTCTGACATGATGAAATTGCCATTAGAAGACATTCAGACAAGTGACTGATAATGTTACTACAGCTGTCCCTGTTAAATGAGGTGAGATTTGCTTATTTAATGCAATGAAATGGCTTTTTCCTCTCATATGTAGATGGTGCAGATCTTGTGTTGCAGCTCACATCATTCAAAAAAATCAGATCTGAGTCCCATGAATGGGCAAAAAGTCTAATTTAGAGACTTGAAACTGAGACTTTCTGAGGTTAAATCTTTAAAGTGCCCATGAAATAAAGCATTTTTATATATATGTCTTGTGCTATACGTGACCTACACGCCAGTATCTGGCCCAACAATGACAAAAAAAGTTATTTTGTTGGTAGTCTTAATGTTATTTTAGAGTTTGTCATTTCCTAGAAATTATTTAAAATGTTGATGACTCATCCTGCACTGGGGTACTGTATGAATTTAGCGTCCAATGAAAAGCCTTATCAATTTATATGATGCCACCGGAGCATATAAACGTTATATATTGATTTTGGTGGAACTGGATCACATTTTATGGAGAAAACATTTTCTGGTTTTCCCTCTGATGTCCCCCGGCTGCTCTGTCTCAATTCTCTGATTTACAGAGTTTCTTGATGGACAGATAGCTTTACTTGCTACCGTTATCGTGTTGGCTCAGTTAGCCGTTCAGCTAGTGGTCATATCAGCTGACTCTGGGAGCCCGGAGAATCTACACAAATGCATAATTCTCCAGGCCTTTAATCACCCTTTTTCCCTTTTCCTGCTCCCCTGCAGGTCGTAACCCGAGGCTGGGTCTAACGGGGCGGCCCTACAGGAGAATAGGAGTGCTGGGAACCTCCAAATTCTACATCATCAGGAACACCATGTTCACATTCACACCTCAGGTGCCAACGCTTACATCAAAATGTTATAAAACGTGTTTTTTCATTTCCAAACCAGACAAGTGTTTTGGGATAAGTTAGTCACAGCTTGAAGAACGTGAAACAGACCAAATACTCCCATAAAATTTATATGTTTTTCACACTCCCTGAACCTGAAGCTTTGAATTCACTAGTCACAAAACTTTTGACGTCATCCTGGTGAAGAAGAGTTAAATCCCTCTAATTCATCATCCTCATTTAACCCCTCCAGTTCATCGACCACCAGCAGTTCTACTTGGCGTTGGACAACAAAATGATCGTGGAGATGTTGAGGACAGAAATCGCCTACCTCTCATCCAGGTGGAGGATGACCGGACGCCCCACGGTCACTTTTCCCATTTCACAGACTATGTTGAGTAAGTACACGCGCACGCTCGCACGCGCGCACACACACACACACACACACACACGCACACACACACACACACACACACACAACATGTATCTGAAATTGTCCCACTTAAAAAGTGCTGAAAAATGTCTTGAATTCAGCCGTTGAGGATGTCAAACCTGCAGATGTTTGTTTTTAGCAAGTATTCCTCATTTTGTGTGTGTTTCAGCTGAAGACCACAAAGACCTGGACCCTGCCGTCTTGGCTACACTGAAGAAGCTACAGGATGGATATTACGGAGGAGCAAGGTGAATTTTACTGACGGCACAGAGGCCATGTCTCGTGTGTTGCTTCTGGGAATTTGTGGTTTTAAACAGACAGGAAGAGGAGTTTACAATATATACATAGTACATGGTTAATTTTGAGGGCTTGTTTTGTTTTGTTTTCTAGATAAAACATTTTTAAATTTGAGTCATTTAAGGGTAAAAATCATAACTTTCAGGAACTATAGTAATTATGGTAGGAGATACTGAATCCCTTTATTTTATTTAGATTTAATTTCATAATTGTGGTGGTTACTCAAAAATATCTATAGTGGGTGGCTGAGTATTAATAGTATTAAATTAGCTGTTTAGCTAAATCTCTGTGTAATGCATCAGATTTCAAGCTTAAAGTCAATGTTTTATTATGCATTGTCCCTGTTAAATAAACTAATAATAATTTTATTTTTCTCACTGTGCAAATAAACAACTAAACTGATCTCGGATTCATTTTAACAACCCTTAGCTCTCAGATAACCACTTTGAACTTGCAACCAGCATCTTTGTTGTCACGAATTTGGTCTTCAATCTAAGGTTTTGTTGTCATGCTAAACTAGGCGTAACAAAAAAAAACCTCCTCAGAAAGCGTGAGGCACTAAACTGATAAACACTGGTTGACAGTTACCTCCTTCCTCCTCTCCAGGACCCAGACGGGGAAGCTGTCGGAGTTCTTGACCACTTCCTGTTTCGCTCACCTGAGCTTCCTGGACGGTAAGGGTTCTGGCAGCATGAGCCGCCACGACGAAGCATATGATGATGATTCGGGTGACAGCGATGGATACATGCATGAGTTGCATTATGATGATGGTAAGAAAAATACCAATTAGGGTCATAGGCTGTAGAGGTACATACAGGCAAAGTGGGCTGTGCTTTGCCTGTTTGTACTGGTAATAACATGATTAACCTACTAAGACACTCAAAAATACACAATAAATGTGTTACATGTATGTCTACTTATATTTCTCATTGAGCCTGATCTCATTCAGCTGATCCAATTTTGAATTCCAAAAGATGAATACACGTTTTAATATTTATTACCTGTGAATGACCTCATTAGAAAACAAAAGCCAAACGAAGTAACCTGTCGCAGATCCTCATTAATCACCACACCGCTTTATCCTGCTGTTACATCATCACTGATCTTTCCCCCGTCTCCATCATCTCTGTACTGTCCTGTAAGTCTGTTGCTTGTTGAGTGTTCAAAGCTTTTGCTCAGGGTTTCTCATCCTTGAGCTTTGGGGACCTCACGTGGGGCCACTTGGAATGCATTCAAATTTAAAATAAAATACGATAAGTCCGTTGGAGCTCCCTAATGGCTGTTAAAAACAAAACAAAACAACTCAAATTTACATAATGGCACTAATTTGCGTGTTGAGAAACCCTGCTTTGCTTGTGTTGCATTTAAAAACATTGCACCTCTGGCATAATGTTATATACATGCATGTTTTAAATGTCTTGTCTCACAGCCTGACTGTCTACACGTGATACTCGTGTACACTTTGCAAGCGTTTTGATTGTGAATGATAATTGCATCGTTGTCATCTTCACATTTTAGGTCCCATCCACACGATGCGTTTTAAAACGTAGACCTCCCGTCTAGACTAAAACGGCAAAAACAACGACCTAAAACGGAGAAGTTTTAAAAATGCTGCCGACCTCGTTTTTCATTTTAAAACTCCAGAGAGCGTTTTAGTGCGGACAGGCAAAAACGATGACCCAGACGCCCACGTTTGGCTCTCTGATTAGGTCTTCTGAGTCATGCAAAGTAGAAACACGATGCTACTGACAGAGCTCTTGACTTGTTAACTTCATTAAAATATTTTGTACAAGTACAACACTTATAGCCTACAATTGTACCGTATACGTCGCCGTATTTCCTTTGTGACGACTCACAGCCTGTTGTCGTTATTGGTCTTTGCAAATAAAATCTGATGTGGTTCTTCATCTAGTAGTGCTCTATTCTCTCGCCAAATCTTCTGTTACACGGAATAGACCATGTGCTTCATGTTTACACCGGCACGTGCATGCCCAGTGTACATGAACGGCCACTAGATGTGCGTTTTTAGTCGTTTTAATATAGATTGAGATCAACTCTGGTACGCTGATAAAACGCTGGTGTGGACGGAGATCAAATTAGTTTTAAAACTTCGTATTTTAAACAGAAACAGAGTAGTGTGGATGGGGCCTTAGGTTCACCTAAAGTCTCTGGGTGCATCTAGCCTGGTTTGTTAAATATCCGCTGCTGCTGCCGCCCTGAAACAGGAGTTTGTCTAGATTTTAAAATAATTTAATCGCTGCATGTCTTCACAATAGCTTTAACGCTTTTTTAACTTCTGTAGAATAAAGCTCCGATTGAAAACTAGACGAGTTCTGTTGACAGGAATCAGTCTCTCAGACGACAAGTGTCACTGCGTTTGAGATAGAAATTAACTAAATGAAACCAAAACTGTATGCATGGCTAGATTTCACCAAGTGCGCATGGAAAAATGGAAACGATATGATTTCTGGGAGATTTGGGAGAACAAACCATGCATGTTATGTATTAGATGGTTTAGGTTTTAAGGACCTGTGTGTACGCATAACTAAGGTGAGTTGAATCTATTGGCATTTTGAACTTGATCAACCTTTTTCTCTTCTGCTTTCCGTAACTCTCATCGTTTCGCTTTTTAACCCCATCCCCCACGCTTAATTTCTTTTATTTGGTCTCTGCCTCTGTCCTTTTGTCCTCCCCTCCAGAGGCCGATGACCTTGCCCAGTACCTGGACCACCTGCTGGCTCACGCTACCCCCAAGAAGCCTAAACAGCAGGTCGGAGGTTTGGGGAGGTTCAAGGCCGTGGCCACCAAAACCAAGCAGATGGTGTCTCTGATGAACAAGGCTCAAGACCTCGACATACACAGTGAGTGGATCCATATTCTGGCACAAATAAGACATCCCAAACTAAAAAACTAAAAGTAACTTCTAAAGATGTTAGGGCTGCAGTGCATGTCTTTTATTTTTCTCTTGAGGTTTTCAAAAGAAGCTTCGAATGTCTGTCGTCCTATTTTATGATTTCATTAACCCCAAAAATGTTTATCCTTGAATAAAATCCTTCGCTTTAATAAAGTGAATCTTCTTTTTTTTTTTTTTTTTTTTACTAAAGCGACTTTCTTTAATGAATATTAATCATCAACATATATACACGTAGGCAGCAGGTTAATCCTAAAATCGTAAAAAAGTTCGGTGTGATTGACACTCGCTCATTATGCAAAGGACGCGAGCTGTAGCCTAGGTAACAATGTCACAGCCTACCAGAGTTGAAATAGACTTTCTGTTGTTGTGGTTATTTAAATGTAAATTCAGGTTATGTTAGATTGCTGCTAGACCGGCCAATTTGTACGGTGCCTCCATTTTTGAACGGGAGAGCAAAGAGTTTGAAAAAAAAAGAATTTTAAAGGCTAAACGCCAACAAATATGGGTTACAGCAGAATACTTTGTTAGATAAAAACCCATTGTGAATTTTGGAAAGAATTACATCTTGTTTTCATTACAATTCAACTTTTGGACTTTACAACGCTCTGGAGTTTTTGGAAATGTTTGGTTCACACAAGTTGGAAACAATCATACGCAGCCACGACTGGAATCTAGTTGTACAAATATTATTAGTATTATAATATTTGTACAACTAATTCAGTCGGGCAGGCTAATATGTATCCGCCGCTGTGCAAAAAATCTGGCTTTAAACACAATGAATACACGTGCAAAAAAACAAGCTGCAAAAAAGAGAGAGCTGATCTAGATATCTAAAGTTGACGTATTGGATCAAGCTTCATATGTTCGAAATATTCAGTACAGTCCTGGGAGATATTAACTGACACTGGATTACTTTTTGTTTTGTTTTGTCCAGATGTCAACATGTACCTGCCGAACAAGCTCTTCCGCTCTCCTCAGCCTTCGCTCAACCTGAACCTCCCAGAAGCCTCTCCACCTCAAGAAACTCAGGTTTGTCCTTTTAATAACGTTAGTTCATTCATCTACAGTCTTTACACCAGCCAATTTTCCCTTCAGTCATTCACTACTGTGATCATCAGCTTCGCCTTTAACTTTCCACCTCTGTCCGCCAGCGCCCAGAGGTGTCGGTCACAACAGAGAGCGTTATCCCACGAGATGCCAGCGGAGCCATCGACTACAACGCTTTAGCAGGGCTGCTAAAAGACACACAAAGTCTCCAGGACCAGGCTGACATACTCTACATCCTCTTCAAAGACAAGTGAGATACACAGTTTTATCCTGCTCAGCATCAAGTTCAGACTGGTTTCAACCTGGCTGCTCACTTCAGACTGGCTCAGGAACCATTATTTTTGTATTTAAGTTATTTTTACCTTAAAATTTTACCCACTTACTTTACATTTTGTCAGAGTGGGGCAAACTTATTATTAGTATAGTTAGGTTTTAGTAGAGATGTTAGCAGAGCTGGAAGTGTGTTTTTAAGATGGTAGCTATAGGAGAAGAGAAAGACAAAAGGCTCTGTAAAGAATCCAAAATTCACACAAAGTTGAAAAGCGAATTTTTTCCACTTTACCCTGCTGCCCTCAATTACAGTGTGTGTGTGTGTGTGTGTGTGTGTGTGTGTGTGTGTGTTTTCATTGCAGGGGTATGGACTGGGACACCAACCTGCACGGTAAAGGCTCCACGGTGAGATCTCTGCTGAGTGACCTTTATGAGAAGGCAGGTGAACTCAAAAGCTGGAGTCTCATCAGGATGATCTCTGGCATGCTGAGGAAGAAGGTGGAGGAGCTCGATGCGGTACGACACACACACGTGAACAAAGACACAGTTATAAATAAAACAGGGTGACATTCACTCAACAGTTTTTGTCTCTGCTAAGGAGGTTTTTTTCTCAATGTGATGTTAGACCTATGAATGTTTTGTTGTTAAATATGGTGAGAAATGTGGTCATGAACAGCTGATAACTTATCAGTGATCTGTTCCTATAATTGAGATCTTAATTAAGCGGTATTGCCAAAACCTTATGGGCTTAAATTAAAAAAAGATGGCATCAGATTTACAAGTGTGAGGCTTTCCCCTCCTCTCTTTGATGTCTGCCTGCGAGTGAGAGCCTCTCCTGAATAGGTGAATCTTTTCCTTGAGTCCTTCTGTGTTTGTTCCACAGCAATAACTATTAAAAAAAAATAACAAAAGCCCGTAAGATGAGTTTGCAGGCTAATCACTTCAACATACGTGAAATAAATGTTATTTTTGGTGTACAGTCAGTGAAGGAGTTCTTCACATGCTCTCTAGTTTAAATCTAAAATGACACACAAAAACCATCTGTACTCTCATTCGTTATTTAAGTGTTTGGGCAGCATTGTTTTTAGCTTTTTCTGCACATACTTTAAATTTGTAAACGGGCCTGCATATTGTTTTGTCATTGGTTATTGGTCTATCTCAGTATTCTTATAAATATTATTAGTTTACACTTGACTCGTATGTTGTTGTTCAATTTTACTCTTTATGATTACACCTATTTTATCACCTACTTATACATAATAGTTTTATGTTTGTGTTTACTTATCATTGTTTTTAGCTGCATGTGTATTTCTGTCTTCCTGTAAAATTGTGTTGAATATTGAAAGCAGCTTAAAACCGGAGTCGAATTGTTGTGTTCATGTGTCCTTGTATTTGCACACTTGGCCAATAAAGCTGATTGTGATTCTGACCTTACCACACGTTTATCTGTTCTCTGATTGGTTGTGATGTGTTCGTAGGCCTGCACTGATTTGCTGGCGCATCAGAAGCACCTGACGGTGGGTCTGCCTCCTGAGCCGAGAGAGAAAACCATCACTGCTCCCATACCCCCAGACCAGCTGGCTGCCCTCATCGACGAGGCCAGCGACAACAACATCAGCGTGGCCATACTCACTCAGGTGAGTCACGTCCTCCGCCGTCGCCTGTCCTCCTGTCTCCCTCTTTAATCTCTCTGCCTCCCGTCTTCTCCTCCCTCCTTCAGGAGATCATGGTGTACCTGGCTATGAGCATCAGGACTCAGCCCAGCCTGTTCAGTGAGATGTTCAGGCTCCGTATTGGTCTCATCATCCAGGTCATGGCCACCGAACTGGCCCAATCACTCAACTGCTCAGGTAAGGTGAGACAGGGAGGTGTGCTTTATTTTCTCAAGTTAGCGAACGGTCTTGTCACGAATTTCTTTAGTCTGACCAACAGTCCAAGACCCAAACCTACTCAGTTTACTGTCACAGCAGCAAAGTATGACACCAGAAAATATTCACGGTTGAGGAGCTGCAGTCAGTGAATTGTTGCTAATTTAAAAAAGAATAAAAAAAAACCTTAAAAAAAAAAATCCATTTACAAAATTGTTGCCGATTCATTTCCCGTCAATCGACTAATTGAACAACTGACTAAAATGCAGTTAGAGGCATGTAAATTGTGCTTTTGTTGTTCAATTCAAGACAGGCTGAATGTGTGAAAACATGTGAACCGCTTTATATGTAGGCTGTAACAAGTATTTTATTTCCAGAACCAGGGTCAATATCCAGAACTGGGAATGTTAAAAGGATAGTTCATCCTACAACTGAACTTAGAAAAAAAACAAACCTATTATTAAAAAATAAAACCTCCCCTCGGTCTGGGCAATATGGCCAAAAATGTTACCACGATATTAAATATTAATATCATTCTGTATCGGTAATAATTGCAATGAATGTCAAATCAGTATTTCTTTCTTTAGATTTTTGCTCCTGAGTGAAAGTTGGAGGTTTCTGATGGTTAATTGTGGTTTTAAACTTTTCTTTATGGTCAGAACAAATACTAGATGCCAAACAGTGGATCACTTCACAAATCTGAGGTAGAACTTTCAAAACAATTATGATAAAATCTATTTTCAACAAATATGCTATGAGTAAAATCTTTTTTCAGTCCCTTTTTCTCAGCAAAAAAAAGTTAATTATGAAAGACAGGAAAATTGGAGTTCACATACATTATTTCCACATCAAAATTTAAGGAAGAAGTGGTTTAAAATAACCCTGCCTTACTTCATCATCTTTTTTACTTTTTTCTTTTATTTGGACCCTCCATACAAAAAAAATGTCCTCCTGCTCTCTATTAACAGTTTCACTCTCCTACACCATGTTTTCTTGTCATTCTCTTCTCTTGTGGTTGTTGTCAAATCAGGTTAGCTGTGCATTACCACCCCAAGAGTCCTGCTATCCAAATCATGTTAACCTTGCAAGGCAGCTGGTATAACATGAAAATCCAGCCCCGATTTGCTCAAAATCAAAAGTTTTTACTCACTTTACAACGTTTCTGTCTCCAGACCTATTTCACACTGGAATTTTACCTGTTATTTTTATTATATTTTCTCACTGGTAAACTTATTTTACTGGCTTTTGAATAATGTGTGTGTGTGTGTGTGTGTGTGTGTGTGTGTGTGTGTGTAGGAGAGGAGGCTACAGAGAGTCTGATGAGTCTCAGCCCATCAGAACTGAAGAATCTCCTCCACCACATCCTCAGTGGGAAAGAGTTTGGGGTGCAGCGCAGCGGTCAGTCCACAGTCCTCTATCACACAGAGTCAGACCAGAGTCCAGTGTTTCCCCTATATACTTTCAACAGCGGTGCACCGCCGCTGCTGAATCATGACCGCCACTACTAAAATTTCCCACGATCATTAAACTATGCGCTACAAATGTTTTCACTCGCACACTGTGCAAGCTCGGGCAACACTCAATGCTTGGCTCGCTTCTTGTCCTCGTTCTATGCCGAACATCTACATGACAGATGGTGTTATAAGAGCAGCGTAACTCCTGCGTAGCGAGTGTTTGATTGTCCGAGCGGCAGAAAGTGACGGTGGAAAATATTCTGGCAGTAAATGTACGGTGTCGGTTACGGTGTGTCTGCCTCTTAAGACCAAGAAAAGTCTGTCTGTTGTTTTCCCACCTGCTGGAAAAGTAAAGCCTGTTAGCGCTAGCAAACACCACCCCTCCCCTTCAGACTGCGCAGCTGAGCAGGGAAGCTTATACAGTGTCCTAGGCTGCGTCTTCTGGCTGCTGTGTAACTGAACATTAGCTCCATTTATAGAAAGTAACTGGTAGCTGTATTTTATTACTGCCTACTAGTCCAATGTTGAGAACATCAGTTACAAACAGACTAAACTGGCGTAGCCTGCAGCTCTGCCCTGTACAGACTGATTCAATTATATGAGTGTGAGAAAGTGGTTGTTAGGAAAAGAAAGGACGGAGGTGACTGTGGAGGAGCTGAGGTTAGTAAAGCTAATTAGTGATGCAAACTAGTCCTTCTAAGCTAATGAGGAGACGTTTCTTTTTGGATTTTAATGTGCAAAGTTTCTCATGAGGTTTCTCATGTTGCCCATTTTTTATATTAACGTCTACAGATAAATGTCAAAGGCTGTAAAATTAAGACACAAAAGGCAAACATGAACAGTCGTATCTATAATGATTGTGAGATCATATTAACAGGGTTTTCCTGCCGTTAAGGTTTACGGGTGCCGTAAATGTAAAATCACTGTGGAGCATCAAAACCAACAAAATTACTTTCCACAAATCTAAAGGTTGCAGTTCCTCCAGTAGACTGATCTTTGGGTGTTGATTATTTATTATCTGCTCTAGCTTTTCCAACTATTTGTTCAGAGATATGGTGAAAATAATGGCCCAATATGATGTGAATTACATATTTTTCATTGGAAACGTAAAATTTTCTTGGGGGAGCACCCCCTAACCCCCCAACCAACACCAAAACATTAATCTAAAGCTCACATTAAACGGGGAAAACACTGCAGTTTTAAGCTATTCTAAGGTGCATCACATGCTCATGGACACAAGAGCAATGTTGCTGAGACATGTTGTGTTAAACAAATATTTTGCTTCGCCTCCCTCGCCTAGTGGAAACACTGGAGTCTGTCACTCACGTTTCTTACGTTGCTGTGAGGTTCTCATCGAGTGGGTTTTTTGTCCTCCTCCACAGTTAGAGAGATGGATGCCGGCGTCAGTCCTGCCATCTCCATCCATCACCTGGGCAATGTGGGCGCCACCAAGAGCGAACGGGCCGGCATCAGCAAACTGAAGAGCGACATGAAGATGGTAGGACCCAAGCACACTGGAATAAAGAGTGTAGTAGCTGATAAATATTTACAGGAGAGCTCTAGTTATAATACACATTTTCCACATTCTTATCGCTATATTACATCAAATATCTTTCTAGCACTGTTTAAAAAAACGAATAAAACTCTCTCTTTAAAAGAGGACTGAAGAAGAAAACAAACCGTTTATCACCCCACAGACCAACTGTCAGCGGACTGGTACTAATTCATTCTCCAGTGTGTCCTTCAGAGTGCTGTTGAGACAAAGTACAATAATGACGATGTGGGCGAAAGAGATTTATAGAGGAGAGGATCTTATTTTGAAAATATTTTGCTCTTTGGCAAACTGACTTTTGTCTCATTGCAGCTGGAACACAGGTTGTCTTTGACGGATCCGAGCAAGGTGATGATGATGATGATGAGGATGATGTTAGACGCAGATGTTGAGTTAAATCAGGTGGTGATTCACCCGGCTAATTGTGCAGAAGTGAAAGGGCGAGGAGATCTGTGGAAATCATTTTAAAGAACGATGAAGCTGATTGTTGGTAATTGAGAAAATTGAGATTTGTGCTCCTGATAAAATGATCAATAGAGGGAAATTAATTAATAGTTGATCTTCAGCTTTAAAATAAATTACTATAGCAGCTTGTCGACTGTGATTTATTAATGACGTGGTTTCTGTGTTGCAGGCAGAGCACAGGTTGTCCTTAACGGATCCATTTAAGGTGATGATCACATGAAGGATTATGAACTAACTTCTTAATTTCTCTTTCATTCTGCAAAGACATCAGTTATTAATCAATTTAGTTAAGTAATGAAGCTGAAATCCAAAATATTCTGTTAATTCACCTTCCATGTAAACATCACCAATCAGATTGATCAGAATATCGAAGCCGTCCTAATTTCTGCCAGTTACGACTGAAATGTGTTCCAGAGCTTCCTACTGCATCTCACTGTCTTCATCAGCTGATGGAGGACGCTCCGTTATAGATGTTCAAACCCGGTGTTGGGCTGTAGTCAACAAAACAATTGCATGTTCAAGGTTTACTCGCTCGTATTTTCCTGAGCTTTCAACTTTAGTTGAGCTTACTTTGTCAGCTACTGTTTCCAAGGGTCAGAGGAGGAACTGTGAAGCTCAACTTTGAAGCCGACGTGGATGAGAAGCCCCAAGAATAATGGGAAGTTTGAACAGTTCCTCGATAAATGAGCACGCTCCATCTGCTGATTAAGCAAGTGGACCCTTGAGTCGAGATTGTTTTAACGGTGTAACCCAGGTTGTCTTTGACAGATCCACTAGCAGAGGTGATGATGATGATGATGACACGCCTGGCTCTGGAGTTGAAAATGAGTTTCAGCTATGATGAGATGGATCTTATTAATGTGTCATTGGCTTTGCTGTGGAAAAAGCAATATGAACTTGCACCTGGTTGTCAACGAGTAGTGCAATTTAGCGTTTGAACAGCGTTTCCTGTGTTGCAGATGGACCGCAGGTTGTCTTTGAGTGACTCAGTTAAGGTGATAGTGATAAAATAAATGAGAATCTTTATGAAGTGAGGGAGAGTTAGACGCTGAGATTTGACTGCGGCTGGCTTCATCAAACAGAGTAATGGTTAGGTTGTAACTGTATTCTAATGCCGATTCAGAGGCTTTACAGGTTGTCTTTGACAGAGCCGGTCAGAGTGATAAGGTGAAAAGGTTTTGACCTGTTGACTTTGATATTATCCCTGAATTAACTGATCCATATCTGTTTCATACGCAGAGACAGCTTAAAAAGCTTGTAGGCCTAGGAAATCTGTGATTTTTGCCATTTCAGTGGTGTTAAATCACCTATTCAGCGCTCACTCATGATGAGAAACGGAGGTACTGGACTCGGATTTGGGTGTAAACTGGTTTGAAGGAAGTTAAAGTCCTTAATCAGGGTGGATTTTTTTTTTCCATTTCAGCTCGACCAGTCACTGACGTCCTTTCACAAGGTGACAATAATAACAACACTTACACTTGGTTTTCCGGGTGTTGATTCATCTGAAGAAATTAACATTAACTAAAAGTTATGGAGCAGCTCATAAGAGCCATTAACACTCTGCTACCTTGTGGCTGCTTATTTTCAGTCTAGCAGGGACGCAACTTTAATATCTGTAATATCTGTGTTGATAATTAGTTTTTCAGAGTAGAGCTGCAACTAATGATTGCCTTTATTATCAGTCTAGTCACTCATTCTATTATATGTATTATTAGTTCAGTGGAAAAAGAAGAGCAGCATATATTTACAGTTACAGAAAGTTTTACATTAATTAACTGTCAATTGATTAATTGTTAAATCGGCTCATTGTTTCAGCTGCTATTTTTACGGGGCATTAAAGTATACTTAAAATAAAATAGACGCAGGCCAGTTAAGTTGCTATTACAAAGTTTGGTGTAAGTTTGGTCTGTGTGTGCTGAGTTTGGAGCCACCCGGGCTTTGAATTAATGTACAGTGAACTAATCAGTTGTTTTCTGTCGTGAAAATTATATTCCTGTTGAGGACACAATTTTGAATTTCTACAATTTCTAACCTTTTTCTTGTTTCCTGTCCTGATTTTGATTCATGCACGGTCAGAATCCACTGGCTTTGCGGTTGTTTGTAATCATTGTTTAGATCTGTCACACTTATTTCTATTACCTATTGCACGGTTTTGTGGTTTTCATTTTGTGCATCTTCTTTTGTTTGTTTTCTCTCCCCTCCTCTCTGCTCTTTTTCTGCCTCTCAGGGCATGCGATCTCAGTCCATGGACGTAGAAAACTTTGAATCTGGGGTAAAGATTTGTCTATTAGCCAGATATTTCTGACTTTTTTTTTGTAGTTGCCAGGTTTATACGCTTCATTTGCTTTGCGCCTGAGCTCATAGGAAGAGGGCGCTGTTTCACCAGAACAAACGCAGCTTTAAATCATCGTGTCTCGTTCTGACCGTTCAGAAATACCGGCTGCAGTCCATGGAATCTCTGGACATTCCGGAGTGCATTCCGGTTGCCAAAGATACCAGACATGGCCAATGGCTGCGCAGGAGGCGTCTGGACGGGGCGCTGAACCGAGTCCCGGTCGGTTTCTACCAGAAAGTCTGGAAGATCCTGCAGAAGGTCAGTCTTCACACAGACTCTGAACTCTGAACTAAGTTATTAAAGGTTCAGTGTGTAAGTTTTAGTGGTATCTGGTGGCGAGGGTTGCGAATTGCAACAATTGCAACCAACTGCTCAAGTCACGACTCACCTCCCACTTTCCAAGCGTGGAGGAGAAGCTGTTGTGCTCTATTTGTCCAAATTTCATTTCTCTTCTTACTTCTAGCAAACCAGACAAGTACCACTACGTCTTCTTATTTGTACATATTCAATGTAGTAACGAAACGCGTACTGTAGAAACATGGCGGCGCAACATTTAGATAGAAGTGGCTCATTCTAATGTAATAAAAACATAATGGTTTGTTATGTAAGGTCTTTAACTAACTTAGTTGTGTATAATATCTTGCATGTCTTTCAATAGATCCTCATAAATATTACACACTGAACCTTTAATTAAAATACGTGGTTAATTGTACATCTGATGCCATCCCAGCGGTGCTGGGAAAATCGACCGGCACACCGTCAATCTAGGGATACGTTGGATCCTCCAAACTGAGGATAGAAAGGCTGCCTTTGAAGGAGCCTTCAAAATGGGACAGCCCATTCAAAGGATGCTGCCTCTGAATTGAGACACAGCCAGTGTATGTGCACTAATGTCCTAGTTTGAGTCTTATCCTGTTTTTGATCATAGTCAGGATATGGCGTTTAGGAAAACCTGGTCATTCATATCCTCGAATATGTAATCATAACAGTATCCACTTTTCTGATCATGTACCTGCAGTTGGATCTTGATTTCTCACCATCTCAGCCATTATATTCTCTACGTACAGAGAATGAAACCTGGATAAGGTGTTTACATGCCACAGTATCCCGGTTCGAGTGTACTCCAGGTAGCGTATCCAGGTCAGAGGTGGAAAGTAACAACTTACAATTACTATTAGGCCAAGCTCCCCTGTAGTTTGCACCCTGCTTGTAACATGAGTTGGTAAAGAAGTACTAGTACTACCATACTATGAAAAAGAAGTTTTCATAGTATGGTAAGAGGCTTTGCTCAAATTAGCCAAAAAGACATCGGTGCGTGGCAGTGCTAATGTTGGTTGGCACTAGCAACCTGCTGGTAACTAGTTAATTAAAATGGTTAGACCTATTTTAATTTTAAAAAATGAATTATGCTAACGCTTATGAAGTCACATTAAAATTACCACCTGTGAGAATGTAGCCTAAATAGGGATATGACTTCATATACAGTCCAGTGTTTCCCATTTTCCCAGCCCAGTGCCACCGTCAGAATCTGTTCCGCCACCGTTACATAATGAAGCAGAAATATTCTCAAAACTTCTCATAATAACATAAAAGGTCTCTAACATTGCCCCATTGCTTTGGCAAAGTATCAGTCAAATGAACTAAAATCTGGCTTTGTTCCCTTATCAAATCCCAAAAGACTGCGATTTAACTAAATGTGTGTGCACACTGAAAGCAAATCCAGCGTTTTGGGCGGCTTGATTTTTACAAAGCCAATGCAAAGGCGTGAATTCCTGTCAATTCACTGTGGGCGTTGCAAAAGAGGTGTTTGTCGCGACATTCGCTGGTTCGCACCAGTTAAAATTTTTCAACTTGGGCGAGAAATTCGCTTGACACGATGTTGCGAAAGCCTATCAGCGGTGAGATTGTCCAAACATCACCGGCGGCTTCGGAGAACTGTTTGGAGAGGACCAGGCGAGCGGTGTAATGACAGTCCACAGGCCGACGGAGAGCTGCTAAAGAACGGGGAAGTGGACGGGGAGCATCGCTGCAGCTTTCGGACAAATAAACACCCGTAGTAGTCTGGATTCTGCTCTGACAACTACGCCGTTTACCCGTGGGAGGAGCTCAGAGTTAACTGTTTTTATTAAATTAGCTTTTTACTTTAGTTTTTGGGATTACAACTTCATTTATCTTCACTCGCGCTTCTCAGCAGCTAACGTCCGCGTCCGGTTATATATATATATATATATATATATATATATATATAACCGGACAAAGCTGGACATTACTTGAAGAAAAGAAAGCGAGGTAGTTCAACTACCTGGTGAGTTCAGAAAATGTGTGTCTGTAACTTTATTCCAGTTATCGTTGTACTTTACTGTGAACAGGTTAGCATAGCATAGCCCTGATCAATCGAACTCCATTCAGAAAACAAACATTTTGACAAGTTGTTGTCCTGCTGACTTGCTGACAGATCTGACAAAGCATGAATTCATATGTCTAACAATTCGGCATCACATTGTAGTTATTTCGGCATCAGTTTTATCCGTTTATTGCAATTAAATCACAGCCAAGGGTTTACTTTGTGTTCATAAAGCTGTAGTATTTGCGGGTTGTGTTTATTCGCTTATCATGTTGTGTCAAAATTCACAACCTGGGTTTTCCATATGGCCATCTAATCATCCCCCAGCGTAACTGGCTCTATATTTTCCTCTTCATCTGTACCTCAAGCCGATGTGTGGTGAGCGTTTTTGTGCAAATGGCTTCTGTGCATCACCCAGGTGGGGGCTACACATTGGTAGTGGTTGAGCCCCCCCACTCTAGAGCGCTTTGAGTATCTAAGATAACATGACAATCCATTATCATTATTATTATAATGAAACAGAACCAGGATACTAGTGTGCATGTAAACACCCTCACAGCCTGATGGAGGAGACCTTTGGAGAGCGTTTTTTAGTTCATCAGTTCAGATAATCTGCTTTTTCACATTTGTTTTTGCAATTTTTAATTGTTTCTTATTTTATATAGCATGTACAAAGGTCTGGAATAAAAGTCATAAAAGAAATGGGCACAAATTAAGATTTTAGAATTTCTAAAAAAACAAAATAAATTTACGCTAAATTATTTCTAGAGCTTTAAAATTATACACATTTTGTTATACATTGTCTTCTAGTGCCATGGTTTGTCCATAGATGGATTTGTCCTTCCTTCTTCAACCACCAGAGAGGTAAGACATCCACTTGATTATTGTCCACAAAAAAAAAATTGACTTAATTCTTATGTTAGTGTCTTAAATTTTTGCTGATTTGTTGTTGTATCCTTTCCCACTTTTATTCACTTTTTTTTATGTCACCATACATGAGGTTTGGGGTTAGATAGCATTTTATGAAATCTAAATCCGTTTAGCCTTCAACTTTTTTTTTAGTAATAAAAGTTATTATTTTGAAACCTCGAGTATGTCATGTTGGCCATCGCCATCTTGGTTTTTTTGGAACTACACTTGACCATATTTGGACTTACCGGAAAAATGAACAGCTGACTCCTAATAAGATTTTTCATGGCACTGATCAAATGTACACAGTGCAGTGGATATGAGTTGCCTTTATTTAACAGCTCTAGCCTGATTGACAGGTCGCCATGATAACGACTTGTCAATCACAAGATAGCCACGCCCTAAAGCACGTGCTGCTTTATCGTTTAGTTTCCTCTAAATAGGATGATAATTTACCAAATGAGCATCATGCTGCGTTGAAGAAGAGTTGAAACTAGCGACTGAGACCATAAACTGATTAGGAAAGTGTTTACTGAGGTAATGAATCAAGTGAGAATTAGAGTCACTTCTTTTTGCAACCAGTGGAGTCGCCCCCTGCTGGCCATTAGAAAGAATGCAGGTGGAAGACACTTCTTCTTGGGCTTCACTTTTCAGACCAGGAAGTTCCCACTTGAACGAAAGATGTCCCACATTATATTTTAGACAAATCCATAGTCCTCCTATTCCATCTTTTCTCCCGCTTCCTTCTCTTTATCCTATGCATTCCCTCTCCAGATGACACCGGGAGAGATTAAATTCTCCCTCCACGTGGAGACTGTTTTGAACCGCATCCCTCAGCCTGAGTACCGACAGCTGCTGGTGGAGGCCATCCTGGTGCTCACTATGCTCGCGGACGTGGAGATCCCGAGCATCGGCTCAATCATCCACGTGGAGAAAATCGTCCACGTTGCCAACGACATGTTCTACAAGGATCAGGTGAGCAGGACATCAAAAGACACTAAAATCCAGTGTGAAAATCTTTGTGGTCAATTGATGCAGGATTTACTTCTTTCCTTCTCCTCCAGAGGGACCTGGGAGCAGAGGAGCACATCCTGGAGAGAGACCCGTCCACCGGAGTGTGCCGGCTGCTGTACGACAGCGCCCCCAGTGGCCGCTTCGGGAGCATGACCTACCTCACCAAGGCAGTGGCGGTGTACGTGCAGGACTTCCTGCCCAGTGGGGCCTGTGCGGTGCAGTGAGAGGACGCCCCAAGAAACCAGAGCAGGGGTGAATCCACTCAGATGATGAATATGAATATGAAAAGAAGTTAAAGCTAAAGTTTGCAACATTTTTTACATAAAAATTACAATAAATTAACAGCACATGAATATGAGTTGTTGTATGTTGTCACTGTGTGTGTTAGTGCAGAGTTTAACAGGATCAGAAACGTGTATTTATGGGGCATCAACACAAAGTCCTCAGTGTTTCGGTGACCCAGTCTTCATGGCAACCTCTTCTTCACCTGTTCTTCCACTGTACTGTACTGCCAGATAGTCCGACAACACTCAAAACTGTTGCAGCAGCTCTTGTGCCTCCACATCAACTTGTCTTTGTGCGGCTAAACGGAAACAAATCTGGCTGTATTTTTCATGAAAAGACCAAAAACCAAAGTTTCTCAATATTGTCTGACTTCTATTCCCTCTCTATTTGCCTGTTTGTGCCTAGTAAAGACGTACATACATATACTTTAATTTTTTAAGAAAACACTCTAAACTGCTCTAAAACTCTGTAGTTTTCAACACTTACTTAAACAGGAGTAAAAAGCATATTTGTGGGGGACATTTGGTGGATTTACTGCAGCAGGACAGTGACTCAAAATAAACTACAGTGTCCAGGCTTTAAATGGTTTTTGAATAACAGTGCACACACAGGTATAAGACATCAGGCTTTGGATACAAGACTTTGTTTTTGGTCTTTTTACATGGTTTGTTGACGATAAGAAAAATATAGAAAAATCACCAGACTTGCATAAAGTGACAAGGATTAATTTTCGATCCTCTGCTCATGCAGGTCTAATGTAAGAACTAAGAGTTGATTTTGATCAATGGAAATGAACGTGATTTGACCCTCATAAAGCATTTCAGTTTCTTCACAGCTAAGTAAACATGAACTTTCAGCCAGAATACACAGTTTAAATACAAATCTTATCATTCTGTGTTCATCTAGAACTCCAGAGACTCTGTTGACTTTGCAGCTTTAACATAAAGTTTTACAAAATCTAAACTAAATAATTCTTCTAACTGGTACTAATTTATTACGACACATATGTTTTGCATTGCAGCTCGCCTGCTAAAACTCATGCTGTATGATGTTTAAACAATGACAAACATTAGATAATCTATAACCTATTTATTTTATTGCTCTTAAATGATAATTTAAAGGAAGCTTCAACAGATATCAGATGTGTCTGAAAGAGGACACGGGGCTGTTCTTGGAGATTTCTTCAATGCCTTAACAGCTGTTCTTTTATTTAACTATGCAAAAACAGAAGATTGTGTCATAATTAAAACCGTTTTGTTCATTTTTTAACACGTGAAGAACTGTTATTGTGATGATTTGTTGAAATAAAAGCTTTTTCTGCATGCACTTGTTTTGAATGCAGTGCTTTCTAAGTCAGCTTGATCCGTGAAATTCAGATTTCTGTCCTCTTAAAAAGGGAAATGCCTTAATTTAATGAACTAAACTGTCATTTTGTTTTGAGTTCTTTTGGTGTAATTGCAGTAAAACTTTCGACCGTTTACTCAAATCTGTTATTTTACATTTGTATGTACACATTTAACTGTTTTAAGGATTCAGTGTCTAGCACATAGAAGATGTTACAGAGAATAAATTGAATGTAATACAATAATGTTTATGTTTTAACTTTTGCTATTGGTGTGAAACGTGTGATGCCTCTTGGTTAATTGTACAATAACCGACTGATACTTGAGTTTATTTTGTGATATTAGAAGATGTGTGAGCGGCACACTCTGTGTGAACTCCAAAATAACATGGCAGAATGGGAGTGAGTCACTTCTCCGCATAATACCGTCCGCTGAACAGCTAGTGGATGTTTTTCTCGCTTGTGAAACTAATTCTGTAATAAAACTGAGATGAAATACGTTATTTCTGAGAATTTTTTTGCTTTAAGGTTGCTTTACATCTGCTGGGGATAATGTGTCCTAATCTGGGTCTCTTCAGTAGTTGCTTGACAAAACTCCCAATTTAAGGCCCACTATATATTTGCTCAATTTTCCACAATTTCCATGAAAATGGATCTGTTGACATGCAAGCTGAGTAGCTGTTATGATCTCTGCCCTTTCAGGACTTCTCCACCTTGCTGGCTTAAAGACGATGTTTGAAAGCTACCAGACATAGCTGATAAGTGGACCTTGAGTTGTCAAACTTGTTTCCAAGGTCTCCAATAATTTATATATATATATAATATGATTTATTATTTGACGTTTGTTGGATGAGTAGGCAACTTTGCTCATTTGACTTCAAAATAAATTTAAGAAGTCCTGTCTTTATTTGTACATCAAAACTTTGACACTACTTGTTCTTAGAACCTTTTAAAATTAGTTGTTTGTTTTTGTTTGCAGATAAATAATGTAGGTAAATACATCCAGCAGGTGGCACAACAAACTCATTACAAAAGGTGCGTTCGAGATGACGGCGCCTGACTTTCGCCGACTTGATGGTCTAACGTGAGCTGCAGGTGACTGCACGCTTGTGTGTGAAGCCATAGCAGCCCTCAACAAGGTGTCTTGATGAGGACATCAGGAGCCTTGCTCTCACCTCTCCTATCTGTTGTTGTTTACATTTACATTTTTTCATTTAGTTGAGGCTTTTATCCAAAGCGACATACAATTGCTATATATGTCAGAGGTCGCACGCCTCTGGAGCATCAAGGGGTGAAGTGTCTTGCTCAGGGACACATTGGTGTCCCACAGTGGATTCAAACCCGGGTCTCTCACACCAAAGACATGTGTCTTATCCACTGCACTGTTGTTGTATGTTGTTTACAGTGTACATTTGCTGGGAAATGATAGGTGAGGAGGGAAATGTTGTTTGTTAATTGGTGGTGTACAGTGCTGTGGAAAAGAATCCCCCCCACCCCCACAAGTCTAACATCTTGGATCAGGAGAAGTCTGTGGCTGAAACTCCTCTTATTTATTGTCTGGACATAAGTGTCAAGTTGAAACATAGTTTCTCTGGAATTGACTCTGGAGTTCATGTCCTTTTCAACTCGAATCTCCAAAACAAAGTTGAAAACAGAGGGGGAATGTTACTCAAGGCCTGGAACGGCTAAAACTGAATATTAACAGGGTCTATAGTTGCCTTTTTACACATTGTCTTGTCAACTTGATCGGTTTCCTGTCTGACTCTGACTTACATGTTTGAATGGAGTAGAGTGGCTTGATGGGTGAGTCTCAGGTTCTGCATGCTAACCTTTGTTAACTAGCACTTACCTGAAAGTACAGCTGAAGTCAATGGGAAGGTAATTAGTTTTGCAAGTATTCGGTGATAGACCAAACAAATGATGATGGTGCTAGTGGAAAAGTCTGGGGATACACGAAAGTTATTATAATTTATTCCAGTATTGGATTGATTGTTCAATAGTTGTCAAGAGCTAGCATGGCTAAAAATTAAGAAATTATGAAGTAGGATGTAAAATCAGTATCAAAGGAAAAAAATGAAGTCAGAAAAAGGGAATATACTGTATCATGTTAAACTATGAAAAGTTAAACACAGACAAAAATACATGACCTGGGTTATAGACATCTGAAAAAGTAAACAGACAGGAATAAACACAGACTGTGTGCAGGCCTGAAAATATTGATTTCTGACGTTGAGCATATACTGTATATACAAACTTGTCACCATCAAATTCTCCTGCTGTATTAAAATAATAGTCCTGATCAGTGTTTCGTCTGCCTAATCAAACAAAGTTAAACTAAAGCAAATAGTCTTTAGTTGTTGGAGCAAAAAAATGTTTAAATGTAAAACATATGACCCAGTTTGCAGCAGTCAGCAGTTCATAAATCTTCCAATGCCCGTTCAAAAGATTTCTCAAGATGCATGTGATGCATTGGCCTTGTGGTGAACAGCTTTTATGTAGCCTACACATCTTTTTTATTTTGTCTTATTTCATTTATTCGCTCAGTTTCAGGCAGCTTGCACAATAAAATATGTGATCAATAAGTGAAACCAAATGTGTTCGAAGGGGGTCATTCCTGTGTTCTGCAGATTTATATGGCACATAATGGGAACATGTTAAAGGGGCCTCTGGTACTAAAACACTTGATGCTTGATTATAACTGGATTACACCAATCATTTATATTTTTTGTTAGCCGTGCTAGCGCTTTAGCTTTAGCCATTTTCCAGACTAGATATTGCAACAAAAATTTCCATTAAGTTTACAGAAACATTTAGAGGTTTGACCTGAAATGGAGACAGCAGATTTTGACCTTTTGCAGTTTTTGACTTGCCTCGGTTTACTCTGCGCCAAGAATAAGCTAGCTTGTTCTTAAACGATTAAAGACAATATGTATGTGATAGTACTAGTTAAAATACTCACATTTCATAGTTACTTTCAGTGTGTAAGTTTCCACTGTAGCTTGTGGTAAACAAACTTTATGTGAATAGGCCTACTAATTGCTCACCGCTAACAGATGCAGAAGCTAATGCTGAGCACTTGTTAACAATAAGCCCTTTTCATACATGGAGTTCATAACATCGGCAGGCTTTAATCTCTTTATGTGATTTCTTGATTTCTGTCTGGACACTTAAAACATACTTCCACACAACAGTCACTGCAGGAAAAGTGGGATTGTTGGGAGTTAATGGCACTTTAAATTCCTCTGGAAGTTCAGGTTAATGGCTGCTCATAGGAATTTTTGGCATATGCCGAAAACGGTCAGGAACTGACATGAGCTTTGTTTGTCCCCATGACCCCCTATCTCCTAGGCTTTCACATGCCAATGATAATGCTGTGAGCGGCTGTGGCTCAGGAGGTAGAGCAGTTTGGCCCTTAATCGGAAGGTCGGTGGTTCAGGCTGTATGTCGAGGTGTCCTTTGGCAAGATACTGAACTCCAGTGTGTGAATGTTAGTTTCTGTTTGAGCACTTAGGCTCAGTCAATGAATGTGTGTGAATGGTGAATGCAGATGTAGTGTAAAAGTGCTTTGAGTGGTCGAAAAGACTAGAAAGGCGCTATACAAATATAAAAAAAAAAATTTAAAGGCTACAAATGCAGGTAAGACACCACTGGTCCAGAGTTGACATCAGGCAAAACAGGGCTATATACACTTTAGCCTACTAACATAGGCCTATACTAATGGCCATACATACTACTGGCCGTATACTAAACCCATTTACGTGGCCATACATTCCTGTCATCGGACTTACGCTTCTCTGTAAAACATCACCAGGAGCCTGACCTTCAGTGTTGGTTCGTTGATCGTTTAATAGAAGCTTTGTGCTTAAAGTAATCCCTATGTGTAATCCCTGTTTTTACAAAATGTACCTGAAGTCTGATTACGTCTTTATTTTCTGAACTGTAACGGAATACAGTTACTTTATTTTTGTATCCTGATTATGTAACGCCGTTACATGTAATCCGTTACTCCCCAACTGTGTTTGTCGATGCAAGTGACGACGAAATTTAAAGTAACCGTTATTTCTATTGTCCTCTTTTTTGTAATCTTTCAAGCTTTTTTTTTTTTTACTTCAAAACATGTGACTACAAATGAAAAATAATGCAGAGGAAACACTTAACCAAGATTAAGCACATTTACTTACTCTATACCGCTAGAAGATTTGCAAATCTTAACAAGACAGAACCACATTTCTTCCTTTGTGCAGACATTGTTTTTTTGTAGAATGGGATGTAATCACGGGTCCTCCTGTACAATCGTGTCTGAGCGCCTATGTTTCAGTAACCATACTGTCATACACAAACCACATACTGTGAGAAATTGTCGCCTAGGATACCTGTCCATTTCCTCAAGGATAATAAAGTCTTTGCTTGTGAAGGCGGAGAGGGAACAAGCAAAGAGAACATTTCCATTTATCCACATGAAGTGTTTGATGCACAGAAGTGCTGTGTTTCATCAGTAAGTCTTCTGTTTATCCAAAAACTGATTACTTCCATGTTCCTCTCCATCTTGCATGTTAGCATAGGTTTCACTCTGCTCCTCTGCAAAGCTTCCCGCCTCTTCAGTTACATACTACATCCTATGCAAATGTGAAGCACGCATTTAATACACATCCTGGAACAACTGTACTCAGCACATGAATACGTCCATTGAGAATGAAAAGACCATCATATATGCAGTTTCACACTGTTTCAGTTTGTGGAACGAATGTGGTCATTTAATCACTAATTTGACCTTTATATAAGTATTCTGTAGGAACTCCACTCAGGGGTTTTTGAAACTGTTTAGGGGAGAGCGAGGGGGTTTAAGACAGTTTTTACTTGAGGCGTCTTTAAAGTGACAGTAATTCCTCCAACTAAAACATGCACATATATGTCAGTATGTGGTGCATCCCTGTGAATTATCACTTTGGATCTAATATAAACTATTTTTAAAACATGGCTTTCCAAAGAAATGTGGTCTTCTTTCCCCATATGAACCCCTGAATAATGCACATGTATATATCTGCAACGTTGTTCTTTATTTATTTTATTTTATGTCAACTGTATGTTTGTCTGCGTGTAGCACCTTATCACCACAGCAAATTCCTTGCATGTGTAATACACTACTTGGCAATAAGGCTCCTTCTAATTCTGCTGAAGAACACTGTGTGCAAGGCAAGAGTGCCAGATGACTCCTGCCCTGACAACGTTTGATGGATAGTGACGTTGAGAAAGTAGCCAAGTTTGACATCAGGCCACTGGAGTGTAAACTTTTCATAATATGATGTGAAAGAACAGTAAACACATTTTTAAAACAGCACTGATACGACACCAGTTGATGTGTTATCCGGTCTAATTAAAGGCTTAACTTACTCAAAGTTACCGCAGCGCACATGCCTGGGTGGTTTATGCCTCATACTGTACACTGCAGGGCCATAAGTATGTGGACAGCCCAAAGTTTTACCCCTTAACAGCCTCGACTATT